GGCTTCAGTTCCACCCCTGCCTTGTTTGTGAGGACTCAGGTGCCTGGGCCACAGGACTCTAAGTTCTACGGGTGCTCTCAATGTGCACTATCATGTCTCAAGATGAAGCTAGCAAGCACCATTTCTTCAGTTCCCAAACTGGAAGTCAAATTTCACTCCTACAAGGCCCCTGATGCTCTTACCACTCCTACAAGGCCCCTGAAGCATCAAAATTCCTCCCCAAGACACATGGTCATAGAAGGTACATCTTCTTACCTCAGAAACAAAGAACAAATGGTACTCTTTTGGCTAGAAAATGAGCTTGATTAGTCCAATTTACAGAGCGGGTAAAGACATCTCCATATAACTAATGAAACAAAGAGCTTTGTCGTGTCAACCTTTGAATTTCTGTATATAAGGGTTTTTTTTTTTTTTTTAAAGGCAGCTTCCTCTTATTGTTGTCAGGCGATGAGAGACGAGGAGACGAGACAGCTGAGGAGGGGACAAGTCACATTCTGTCCAGGGACATTTTTGGGAGTCAAGCTCATCATTACCTTAAGCAGGAGAGGAAACCCTTTTGTGTTAACCTCTCTGCCCTCCATAACAATTCCTCCAGGCCCGATGAAAGACTAGGATGAAACCATGCCTCAGCAGACTCGGCTCTAAGGTGATCTTACATAGCCCAGGCCGGTACTGGATTCCAGGCGGCCCATTAAAAATGCAGAAATAACTTCAGAGTGTGCAATTAAACTGTTCACAGCAGACTTTCACAGATTCACGGAGCAGCCTTTCCAGGTGAAACAGGTCACAGGTGGCAAGTTAAACATGAGACACGTCCCTTCATTAAGGAAGAGCCAGGCTCTCAGAATCACTGCTGAACTGGGCTTTGTGGTGGTTATATTTACCTTAGAGAAACCTTCCTTTCCAAACAGTGACCTGAAATGAGCAGCTAGGAAACTGTTCCCCTTTGGGTTACACTAGGCACCCCACTTGCCTCTCTGATTGCATCTTCTCTTTCTTTCCTGTGGCTTGCTTTTTTTCTCCTGCCCCAGATCCTGATTCTGCCTCATAGTTTGAATGAGTGTGCTAGCCCCTCCCACCCCTTAACCTTCCCCTTGAGGTTCCCAAACAATCTCCTTCATGAGACCTGTCGTCTGCAGTGCCCCACAGAACAATCCATGACTCTCAGCCCCATTTCAGCGAGGAGGACACTGAGCTCCACTGACTTCATCAACTTGCCCAAGGGCACACAATTAGAAAATGGTGAGGGAGAAATCTGAAGTCAGTACATCCAACTTCAAAGCAAAGCGCTTAGCACTACGCTCTTCTACCCCAAAACCCTAACCTAAAGACCCGTCCCATATCCTCCACTGTCTCCTGGGCATCTCTACTGAAACGTCCTCAGGGGTCACCAATTCAGCACACTCAAGCCAACCAGGATGTCTTGCCCTGTGTCTCCTTTCCTGACTGGTTCAATTCATGTCCACCCTACTAGGCAACAAAAACATAGAGCCATCTTCTCTCTTTAACTGCAACCATAAATATCACACACTGACCCTTGACTTTCTTCCTGTGAACCATGCTTGCCATCTGTGGTTTCCCTCCACTGCTGCTCCTGTTGCTCTGACTCGCCCTTCCACCCCCTGACTCATGGACAGCGGCCACAGTAGGCCAGGTGCACAGTCTCAGCCTCCCGGCTTGCAAAGCAGCAGGATGAAAATAGGGATTTGGACAGAAAGGCCAGAATGTCAACCTCATTTCTGCCAAGTTCAGGTTAGGGGAGCTTGGCCAAATTCTCACAGTTGTAGGAAGGGGGAAGTAATACCAGCCATCCCACAGGGAGGGCATGCTGTTAGAACTAAGAGGTTCCAACCAAACAGGTTCTCAAACAACAGTGGCCGCCAGTGCTGTGATTGTTAGCTCCATTCTCTGCCCACTTCGGTCAAGATCACTGGACAGATGCCCTTAACCAGCACCACCATCGTGCCCACTCCCCTGAGCAGGAGCCTACAGGGGTCCCCTGTTGCCACATTGGCTAAGTGGCGAGCATTATATCTACATCTGAGATCTCACGCAATCTCCACGAAGACCTGGGAGGTAGTATTATCATCCTGGTTTTATAGGTGACAAACTACAAATGGAGGCTCAGAGACGTAAAGCGATTTTCCCAAGGCCAGATAGGGAGGGGTACATCCTGTGGGGAACTGGACTACTCTTACACTCACGGGATGCTCCTACCGTTCACTCATGGGACGCCCCTAACAGTCACTCACGCAACATCCCTAACATTTCCTTGTGGGAAGTGTTAGATCCCGCTCAGTCCTTCCCCTCGGGGAAAGAAGAGGTAGCACGGGGGAGTGGTGGAGGTATGGGTTCACGTCTGGGCTCTACACCATGTGCTTTTCACCGTGTCCTTCAGTCTCCTTGTGTCCTGATCTTCCATCAGGAGCAGCTGGCTTGTAGGATTGTTGGGCAGATGAATGAGGTGGCATCTGAAGCCCACTGAGACTACTGTCCAGAAGACAGTAAGTACCACCAACATAGTGAGTACCATGTACTCAGTAAGTACCACATATACCGGGAGAACTTACTACACAGGGAGTACCTCCTACTCAGTACGCACCACTTCCGTGTAAGTACCACATAAGCATTGGCCATTACCACTAGTGCAGCAATCCATGACCTCTCCCTTCTCTGAAGGCACAGAGCACTGATCACTTTTGCCTCCATGCGTGGTCCTTCATTGATTCACATGCTCATTTTCCCTTCCCAACAAAGAGTTAAGCTTACTCACGTGCCTATTAATATCTTTCTCTCGTCACTGGCCTGCTTGGCCGCACACAGTAGGTCCTCAAAACTACCCACTGGATTTCTAGTGAGGCCTGTGCTCTCCTCAAAGAGATTCTTCCGTTTTCATTTTCGCTTTTACTTTTTTTCCCTCACTCTTTCACGAAAGACACCATTACCAGGGCATCCTCACCAGACCTGTTTTCAAACCTCAGGAAGTTATCGCAGGTAGAGAAGAATGGCCCGATGTGTTGGAGTCTGGCAGAGAAGCCTCAACCGTGCTTTAGAGAAGGAGCTATTGCAGCCAAGCTTGTTGGACGCCGCAGATGAAGCCTTGGGACAGACAGCAGCTCACCGGGACTCGAGACCTGCACTTCCCAGCTGAGTCCCCCTCATGGGCCCTGGGCCTCCCAGCCCTTCAAGGGGATGCCTGTATGAGCACCACCCGGCATCCCTCCTGCTCTGCTGTAAGCGAAGCACTATGACATCATCTTTCCTGGATTTAAAGACAACCCACAACTCATGATGAGCAACATCCATCTACATACATCCAATCCCACACATAAAACCCCTTCACACGACCTTCCATACTGCTCACCTGCTCCTAACCGGCACACTGTGGTACACATCCCAAACATTTTGCTCCTTTACATCTGCCAAGTCTTTTGCACTCTGTGTTAGTGGGATGCTGTGAAAATGAACTGACCGTGTCTAAGAAGAGAAAACCTTGTCTTTGTGATGCCCACGTGTCTCAGGGCATGCAACAGTGTTCTATTTTCTTTGAAAATGTCAATAACACTCTGTGGATTCTTTTTTAGCTTGCTATCCACACTTGCTTCAGGAATCTTCAGATACAGAAGCAAACTACAGCATCTCTCTAGTCCAGGGGCAGAAAATAGACTCTAGCCCCAGCAACACCTTGAAATGATCAGTGACAGGAGCTTTTAAAACCACAGTGCTGAGTAAGAGCTCAGGCCGAGCCAGGGCTCACCGGCAGAGTCTTGTGGTGGGGCAGCAAAATCCAGCACAGGCCAGGTGGCCAAGCAGGACACACATGTGCCACTGTCTAGCCACCCTTGACTGTTTAACCCCTTGCGTCCCCAGAGGAGCAGGTTCTAGGGTTCTCTCAGGTCACCCGGCAGCAGTGGCAGTAAAGCCACAAGTCGCTGCAGGTGCAGTCTGCTGCCAGCTGTGCAGCTAGGCTCACTCCCCGCCCATGCTCCACCAGTGAGTAAAGTCAGAAGATGCAGCAGGGTTCTGGGGAGAGTGGCAGACGGAAGAAGGCAAGGAGAGTCACGGGCTCGGAAAATCTGGGGAGCACCAGACCAGGAGGTGGCTAGAGACACAGAACTGAGGACCTATCATGATGGCTGTTACGATTTGCCAGGGTCTACCTGAGTCTCCCTCTCCTTTTAATCAAGAAGGCACATTGTCGTTGACCACCTGGTGAAGGAAGAGGTGAGTCAGCTGCAATAAAATGTGTCCTGGTGCAATCAGGATGACAGTGTGTGGCCTCATAAAGTGAATGCCCATGTGTGAGAGTGCAGGGTTCAGCAGGCATGCAAATGTGGAAAGGAACGGGCATGGGTGCATGACTAAGGAGCAGTGTCGTATGCAATGGCTGCCTTGCTGTGCCACTCTAGTGGGACACCATGGTTCTTGTATGCACAATAGTCACGCCCTTTTCTGATTTACTCTGAGTAACTAACTCTCTTTAGTCTCAGCCTATATGTTTCAGCTGGCACTGACTTTCTCCTGGCTTTAGGAAAATGCACACGACTCACACATAGCCAATCAGAGCATCACTGCCTGTTGGACACTGTTTCGTTCAGGGATGGGCACCTGACTGGATGAGAACCAGTGTCAAGCTTCGGTTGGTGTTATCAGGAAGAGATTCTCTCGCAGGAGACTTCAGACAAGGAATGAAGTGGAGCATCTGCACTGGGATGTAGGGAGCAGGGGGTGACTGCCTGAGAGAAAAGCCAACACGAGATGGATACCCATCACACTGAAGCCATCAGCTGGACACTGGTCCATAACCATGGCTGGAGGCAGAACACCCCTGACATACTTCAGTTGCATGAGCTGATAAATTCTGTACTTTAGGTTTCTCTACTTTGCAACAAGAAAAGAATCTCAGCCAAGGTAGCAAGCCAATTAACCATTTTCCCCCCACAACACACAGACCCCGACGTTCCTCCTTGAACTCAGCTTATGCCAAGCAGTTGCATTACCTGCAGGGAGCCCTGGATGTCTTTCCCTCCGACGATCATGAGTTCTGCCATGTCTTCTGCATGGGGTGTCCGTGCGTGGATGAATAGAGTCCTGCCCACTGCAGTGACATTTCTCAGGGCGACTAAACTGCCATCGCTGTTCACCTTGAAGTATGGGCTTGAGACCTCATAGCGCAGCTTGTCATTTCCCTTACAGTCACTGAAGGTCACTGCAAACAAACACAATGGTGACAGTGTGAGTAGGCTGTGTAGACCAAACCTTGAGGTATCTGGTCCACTGAGTGGACCACCCCTCCAGAGCCCATACGTACTGCCCCTTATCCTACAGCAACCCCCTTTTCCTCTCACGGCTTTGCTCATGCTGAAGGCTCCATCAAGACACGTCCCTTGGAACGTCTCCTGCTCCAGGTAAGTAGTAAGCACTGAGGAGGCAAAGGTGAGCAGGAGGCAGCCCCTGGTCTTGGGTGACGTGGGGGACATGAACAATCAGATCGGCAGAGTGATGAGGAGGAATGTGACCCAGTCCTGGCAGGCGTGAGGTGCTGTGAGAGAACTAAGAATGTTGAGGAACACACGGTCGGTTATATGAACTGGGTCTTTAATATGAGCAGTAGATTAGAAGGCCCACAGAGGGTGGAGAACATTCTAGGTGAAGGGACCTATGTGTGCAAAGGCATGGGGGGGTGGTTAAAGAAAAAATAGATTCTGGGAAAGACAAATAACTTGGTATGCTTGGCTCAGAGGCAACTTTGAGCTGGGGCTGAAACAGATGTTGGGGAGTTGAAGGGTAGGCTGGAAGTGAAGCTGAAACGCCCTGTAGCCTGGAAGACTTTTACCATGGAGAAGGTCAGGATCAGCTTTTTGGTTCCACAGGCAGTGGAATGACAGCTGCTCAAGTGCCCCTCTGACCTGGCGCCTCCAGAGCTGGTTAGCCTGTCTGTCATGATGGGCACTTCAATGCTTGGTGTGTGCTTGTGTCTCTGCCTGTGTGCCCACCCCCAGACCCCTTAGCATAAACGTGCACTGCTGGCTTTGTCCCCAGCACTTTCCCTTTCTTAGCTCTCTGCTGAAGTGCCTCGTTTACTTGTTTAGTAAACTTGTAAGTGAATTAAACATGGGTACAATATACAAACGGGAGCTCTGGTAGCATAGTGGCTAAGGCACTTGACTGCTAACCAGAAGGCTGGCAGTTCAAACCCATCAGCCACTCCTTGGAAGGAAGATGGGGCAATCTACTCCCATAGTGATACTGCCCCGGAAACCCAAGGAGGGGTCGCTATGAGTCAGGTCTGACTCGACGGAACATAACAACAACACAAAGTGTACAATCAGACAGTGCCACCAGAGCTCCTTCACTCAGAATGTAGTCAGTGAATTCACAAAGCGAGCACACGGCATGCTCAGCACTCAAGAATCCTAACACCCAAGAAGCAAAGGATTACCAGTCCCCCACCAAGAGTCCCCTCATGTCCCTCCCCAAATAAAATGCCTACCGTCTGCTCCAGAAATGACCACAGTCCTGACTTCTAACACCATGGATGAATTTTGCCTGGTTTTGAACTTCATTTAGGCAGGTGTAGTCTGTCTGGGTTGTGTCCACACGTATGTGGACGCTTCTGCTTGACATTGTGTGTTGAGACTCATCCAGACTGTTTCAAGTAGTAACAATCTACCCTTCTTGACTCTATAATACTCCATCCTGTGACTAGGCTGAGTTCGTACACCCATTCCAATTCCACTGCCCATAGGTGTTTGGGCTATTCCCAGGTTCACCTCCCACAATATCGCTGCTGGGGACATTCCCAGGTGTGTCTCCCGGACAGCATCTACTTGTTTGCATTCCAGTAACTCCACAGGTCCTGGTGCAGAATTGACGCCTTGTAAATATCTGGTGAACTAAACTGATCTCCTAGCAGGGGGATGATGCTTCCAGTGATAATGGTCCTATTAGCTGCTGCTAATAACAATCATAAAGGCTGACGCTGATGGAGCAGTTTCCACACATGAGGCTCTGTTGTTAGCAGTTTCTATACATTCTCCTATTTAATCATCACAATGACCCTATGGATGGGATGTTATCTTGGCCCCTTCCCCATATTTTATAAATGAAGTAATTAAATTTCAGAGAGGGCAAAGAAGATGCTTCACACACACACACACACACACACACACAATACATCTGCGTAAGGACTGGACAGGCAGACCTTGTTTGATTGAGTCCTGCTTTATTGTGCTTTGCAGACATGGCATTTTTACAAATTGAAGGTTTGCCAAGCAAGTCTATGGCACCATTTTTCCAAAAGCACATGCTCACTTTGGGTCTCTGTGTCATGTGTTGGTCAATCTCATAATATTTCAAACTTTTTTGTCATGTTATACACACTTTATAGACTACAGGATAAAGTCAACATACATTTTATAAGCACTGGGAGACGGAAAGATTAACCTGAGTTGCTTCACTGTGATAGTCACTTTATTGTGGTGGTCCGGACGAAACCCCCATGTCTCTGAGGTCTGCCTGTATGTATAACTACACTAGATACATTATAATAGTCCTACTTTAGCTTTCCTGATCCAAGCACCTATTTTATTTATTTATTTATTTATTTTTATTAGGATTTGGGTGAAGATTTACAGAGTAAATTCACTTTTCATACAGCAGTTCACATATACTTTGTCTCATGTCATTGACCAAAATTTACAATGCAGCAGCTCCCCTCCCACTTCCTCCCCATAGTTACCTCCTCCCAGTGTCCATCCCTTCATACTCTTCTGCACCCTGAGCTATCTCCCTGTGCATAAGCAGCCCTTCCTTCTCCCATGATTGTTCTCTCCAGGGTGCCAAGCACCTATTTTAAGCCTCTTGGGGGCAATATCACCCCAATGAGACTGCACTATCTCTAGGCCTCATTCTTCCCAGAAAAATGGACTAACTCGCCCAGCACCAGATACTCAAAGACACAGAGCAAGAACACATTGTCTGTCTGTCCGCCACACGAGTCCAAGCTCTGGGCCATGTTCACTCCTATGTCCACTTCCCAGGAACGGCTGGACTAGAGGGGAAAGGGCAGGTCCCACATCCTGACGCCTATGGGCTGCTCACAGATCCCTCAGGGGTCATCAAAGGTCCCAGGTGAGAGTGTACCAAGACATCAGATCTGCCTTCAAGACCTGACCCACCGCAGGCATCTGACATGTGCTAGCTTTCTGCCCACATGGCCTGAGTCAGCTAGAGACTGTATCGCTGGGTGTGGTTCATTTCACACACCACTTACAGACTCTGAAGCTCACACTTTAGACGGTGGTTCTTTAACACTGGCTATCCATTAGGATCACCAGGGGGACATTAAATAATAATAATAATAAAAAAAACATAGCAATGCCTGTTCATGCCCTGTCCCAAGGTCCTGGTACACACAATTGGCCTGGGCTGGGTTCCAAGAAGTCATAATCCATGCAAGTGATCCAGATGAATCTGCGACTGCCAGGGCCCAGGACCTGAGACAGCACGCTGCTTGTCAAGATGCCAAGCATCCACACTTCAAGGTCATTCCTGGACAGAGCGAAGGTTGGGGACTCAGCATGCCAGGAACTGTGCCCTAAGAAAGGGCATTGCAATGTCAGGCCTTCAAAACCCTGTCCTGATACTGCTAAGCGCAAGACTCCATGACTGCAGGAAACTGCCTCCCCTCTTTCCTCCTCCACGTCTTCATCTGGAAAATGGAAGCAAATGAGAGAGCTTACCTCACAGGAGCTGGCAGCTCTGTGGTGAGGATCACACTAGGTAATACGGCCTGATGACACAAAGCACTGAGAAAAGAATGCCAGCTATGGGAATCAGCGATGCCTTAATTTCTGTGATTCTGGCCCTATGGAGGTTACCTTTCCCTGCCCAGCTGCCTTCTCCCAGCTGGCATTCCACCTGTCTCCTGGGTCCTTTCACCTCTTTCCAATCAAGTTTCCCTGCTCCAGCCTGCCAGGCTATGTCCTGTTGCCATGGAGATGGTTACTGGTTACTATAGGCACCTCCATGGAGGCTAAAGAGGGGAGGCAGGCAGTCTGGACCAAGCCTTGTCCATTGCTGAGTCCTCCCCATTTTCTTGGGAAAGCCCAACCCTAGCTCACCTGAGAGGTGTGGAAGAAAAATGACGCCAAGGAGTGAAATGACAGAGCCCTATCCATAGTAACTCCACAAAGGTGTCTTATAGTCTTCAACAGGATGGTCTGTGCAGATCACTTCATAGAAATTTAAGGGACTATTCTTCTGAAAATAACAGCGCTATGGTGCCAGCTCCACACTCAAGACTGTGAGGAACCCTTGCATGATCACCACACGCTAGGGACTCGATTTTCCTCTCCGGAAACTGACACTTAGCGAGATGGAATGTGTTCTCTAATGTCAGCCACTGATATGTGTTCAGAGGAGGTACTCAAGCCAGGCTGTCTGATTCTAGAACTCACATCCCCCATCACTAGGCCAGGGTGCCTGGGAGGACATCTTCCTGCCTTTAATCATTCTGCTTCCAGCAAGATGATTTTGCAAAGCCCTCAAATGTCATCTATTATTTGCTTACTATTTTTCTTTCAATTGACTCACTTTTTAAAATTACATAAAATTGTTTGAAGCGAACCTTGAAAATACACATTGGAGTGCCAGGTGCATTATTCTAATACACAGTAAAACACATTTTAAAGACTTTTTTTTTTTTTTTTAAAGTGCTTGCTCTTGTATTATGAGTTGAATTTGTCCCCATAATACAGTGCTGAAAGAGCCCTGGTGGCGCTGTGATTAAGCACTTATCTGCTAACTGGAAGGTCAGCTGTTGGGACCCAGGAGCCATCTATGAGAAAAAAGATAAGACAGTTGGCTCCCATAGAGATTGACAGCCTTGGAAACCCTATGAGGCAGTTCTATTCTGTCCTCTAGGGGCATTGTGAGTTGGAATGGACTCCACAGAAGTGGGTTTGGTTTAGGCTTTGCTTGGGTAAAGATTATAGCCTTGGCAACTCAATGGAGCAGTTCTCCCCTGTCCTCTCGGGGTGCTGTGCATCGGAATTGAAGTGACGGCACACGTTAACAACAAAATGGGAGCTGGAATTCTAACCCTTCCACCTGTGGCTGCAGCCGTCACAGAAATAGGATTTTCTTTGTTATGTTTCCAAGGCCATACTTCAAAGTTACTTTTAAAAGCAGACACAGAGACACACA